ATTGAGAAGTTCTGAAAAGCTACTCAGGAAACTAGTCGCCGTGGTTGTGTGTGCGTGTGGAGCTGGGAGTGACCGGGCAGCTGGGGCACAGGGATGGGAGAGACGTTTCCTGTGTGCCTTTTCTTTTAGTCTTTGCATCCTGTGAATATGTTTCCTAGAAGAAATCAATAAATAAGTGATCCTTCGAGGGGGCCTCGAGGTGGGTGATTCTGGGTGTCCCCCAGTCCCTCGAGCCATGACCTGTGACTCTTTGTCATTGGAGGGAGAATAAAGTTTCAGGTCAGCCAGGAAGAGGCGCCCCTTACCCACCGTCGCTGCTCCTCATCCCCAGAGAAGCCAGGGTCAGGCTCTGCACCCAGAGGACACAAATTGAGGTGACCAGGAGGTTGGGAGGTCAGGCGGGTGGCGGGAAGTTCACTGGGGTCAGGAAGCCGAGAGGAGCAGCCTTTGGAAGGGGCTCTGTCATTTTCACTGTCCTCAGTGTCCCCGAGGAGGCAGAAGAGGAGGACACCTCCCGTACTGGCCGCTGAGGGACTGAGGTGAATCCCCTCTACCAGTAAAGAGGATTGGGTAACCAAGGGGGCATGGCAGGTCCTTCGCTGGTGGCTGGGGACAGTTGGGGTTCACACGTCCATGGGGAAGCTGAAGAATTTGCCAGGCAAGGGACTCTGATGCTTGGTGTGGAGCCCCTCATGGATCCCCCCTCCGGTGGGGGGTTTCTGCCACACCCCGCTTGTCCTCCTCTCTGAATCTCCCCACCTCACCCCATACCTTCCACTCCCCGCCAGTGACTCATACACCTGCTCCCTCATTTGTCAGGCATTTGTGTGGCACCTGCTGAATGCCTGGCAGTTATGTCTGGGGCCTCTTATAATGAGCCCATCAAAGACATCCATCATTGTCCCCATTTTACAGATAGCAAAACTGAGGCTTGCAAGGTTCCATAACATGCCCAGCCCACATTCCTAAGAAAGAGTAGAGGGGAAAGTTAAGCCTAATTTTCTGAGTCAGAAGCTCCAGTACTTTCTTCAATGGCATGCTCCCGCCTTGGGCAGATCAGGTGTGGGCCCTGCTGTGCAGGGCATTCTGTCCATCCCCCTGCCCCTGGAGGGGACCCAGACAGGGCTGGACTCATCCACTTCCCTGCCAGGCCAGCAGCCGCAGGTGGGTGAGGCAGACGGAGCTGTGGGCTGAGTGTGTCCAGAGGGCCCAGAAGGGAGCATTTCAGGGATAATGAGCACTGCTACTATCATTATCAAGGTTGCGTACAGCCCGCTAGATTTGCAAGCTGAGATGCTGGCCAGCTGCCTCGTCCACCCACCTTGGAGGCAGGGAGACTCCAGCAATTGGGGTGGAGTGAAGCGGGCTTCCCTGGTAGGAAAGGCAGTGGACGGAACTGTTACTTTAAATAATGTTGCCATCCAGCCAGAAATAGGTCTCCCAGGCGGGGAGGAGAGGGAGGCTGGAGGATGGAGAGGAGGCTGCACCCCACTCTGCCAGGCCAGGGAGCACCTGGCCTCAACTGCAGGGGGACCAAAGGGAGGCCCAAGGCCAGCAGTCCTCTTCCGGCCTTGGAGGAGGGGCCGGCCTGCAGCCAGTTGACCTTCCCCGGGGCCCCGGGGGTTCCAGGCTGAAGCAAACAGACATAGAGCCTTCTGCAGAAATCTACTTTTATTAAAGTTTAAATTTCACCACGCGTCACTGACATCAGCAAACAAATCCGCATCCAGTGAGTCCCTGGTGTCTGTTTTATAATGTATACTTAAATTATATGCTTAAAGTGCATTTTTACATTTTATTTTTAAAATAAAAGCAATATATGCATACGATAAAAGAAATTCTGGGGCATAGAAAGACGTAAAATGTAGACATTTTCCTCCCTCCCCGCCCAGCACTTCTCCCGAAAGGGAGGTAACAGGTATCCATCGAGTATCCCCATCTGGAAGAGGTTTTATGTATGTGTATCACGTATATGCAAATATATACATTTTAGGTACTTGTATCATATGCGAATATACACATTTTACATACGTGTGATCTGTGTATGCAAATATATACAAATGTGTATACTATTTCATTTACCCACATGGTATCATACCATTTACTCTTTTTTTACTGGTTTTTTTTTGGTCCACAAACTGAAGTTATTTTTATTGGGTCGATTTGCATGGTACTAAACATCAAACGAAGGGTTTGGTAGCCTGTGTGGGTACACAGCAGCTTACTGAGAGCCATAACCGTCCGTTATCACTCTGGTCCCTGACGCCCAGCCGCGATACTGCTTGGCTTCTTCCTTCCTCGTGTTGTTATTTCCATAAGCATCTCGCCTTCTCCAGCTTCGACTTCCTTCCCATGCTTTGTGTGTCTCGGAGACCATTCTGTCTCAAACAGACAGGTGCTCCTCATTCATCCTGCGGCTGAAGCATCTGTAACTGACCCAGCTGCATTCTTGACGGACATCTAGGTTGTTTCCAGTTGCATGTTTATCTCTGCCATTCGAAGCAATGCCACCTTGAGCATCCTTACACCTGCTGTTTTGGGGGTTTTTTTTGTTTTTTGTTTTTTGGGTTTTTTTTGCCACATTATTGCAGTGTATCTAAGAGGCTAGCTCGCAGGCATGCAGCCTCTGGGTCAAAAGGCTTACCTATTATCATTTTGATAGATTTTGCCCCAGAGGCTGGACCACTCTGCACTTCTACCAGCTGATCTGAGGGCCCGCCTCCCCGCCCCCACTCTGGCCAGCACTGCATGTGATCAAACATGAAAGTCTTCGGCATCTGATATGTGAACATTGTCTTGTTTTGATTGGCCTTTCATTGTGATGGAGGTTGAGCATCTTTTTGTTAGTTTGGGGGGCCATTTCTGTTCATATTCCTCTCCCTGCACCTTTTTAATAATTTTCTGATTCCATTTTCAAAGATAGAGAGCCGTTCTAGCCAATCTTACCTTCCATCTCTCCTCTCAGGTCACCCCATCGTTTTCGAGGCCCAAACCGTTTCCCCAAAGCTATCTCCTCTCCCTGCAGCCGAGGCAAGCGAGAGTGGTAATGGGCTTGAGGATGAGGTGGGAGGAGAACGGGAAATTTGCCAGAGCCTGGGCGCCTGCTATCTCCCCTCCATCACACCGTGCGCAGTAGCAAGGGACAGATAAGAACTGCAGCCGGTGGCAGAGATAAGAGGCTCGGACAGCCAGAAGGTTCTGAATCATGCTGCAGAGCCAGGGCATCTGTGAGTCCCAGGACGGAAGGGGGGGGCGCTTTGGAATATGACGTCGGTGTTTAACTGGTTAGCAGCTGAGCTTGGGGTCAGGCGGGCTCTGTAGAACCCTGGCCCTGCCTATGAGACCACCTATGAGACTGCCTGGCAGTGAGGAACATTTCTGAACCTCAGTCTCCCCACCTCTAAAATGGGGGTGCTGATAAATGTACCCTCTCCAAGGATTATGTGAAGGACTCTCATATACAGCCCCACAGCAGTTTGCCCTCGTTCACCTATGACAAGGAAAATGAAGCTAGTGTAGTGGGTTTGCATAAAATTTAAGTTTAAAATTTGTTAAAATTGCTTTTATGCTGAGGTTACATTTCTCTCTGACCTCAAAATGTCCTTTTTAGATAAAATGCTGACCATTTCTGTTTATTTTTCTCTCCCTGCCTGGCACTTTTTAATATTATCTTTTTTAAGTTTTTGGTAGCTAGATTGTTTTTCTGTTTGCTTTTTGGTTGGTTGGTTTTAATGATCTTACTTGGCAAAGTAAAAAGTTGACAGTCTTATGTCAAGCCCCATTTTTTTGAGTGTTACTGGTCCATGATACCCAATAGTCTGCGAACTGCTGTGTGAAATGAAAAAATGAAGGGAAAGTACTTAAGACCAGGCCAGAGGAATAGCTGGTGCTCAGAAAGTGGTAGTTGTTGTTTCACGGTCGTGAGATGGTGATGGAGGTGGTGGTGATGAGCCCCGGCTGGAACTTGTGTAAAAGAAAACTTAGCAGCTCTTGAGAATAAGGTTGCTCTGTCCCAGGGTTGGCATAGCCTAGAGGCAGGTGGCAATGAGCTTGTCCACCAACTCAGCTGGGCAAACCCTCGGACACCCAAGGATGGGGGGGGTGTCCTAGGCACAAGCCCCTTGATCCTCTGAGGTTCCTACTGGGCCATCCACTGGCCAGGGACAGGAAAGGTGATCACAGAGGGGCTAGCAGGGGAACTAGCCCCCTCCATACCAGAGAGCACCACCTGCCCGTGTCTTACCTGCCAGAAGCCCCTCTCCCCGATTTGGCCTGGCCTCCTCCCTGCCTCTCAGCCAGCTCAGTGCCCCACACACCTGCTCTCCAGCTACCTTTCCCCCAACACCAGACTCTGCTGCCCTTTGGGCCAGTCACGTGCTCCCAGAGCAGGCTCCCAAGCGTCCTCCTCGGGTTTGTACATCCTGGCCTCAGGGCCCACATGTACAGAAAGCCAACCTGTCCTGCTCGGAAGGCTCTGCCTTTTTCCTCCGTAAAGCTGCAGTGGAACTGTCTCGAATGTTAAGGGTGAGATGATGCAAAGCATTTGGGGAAGCATGTGAACATTCCTGCCTCTGCCACCCCCATCCATTTCAATTAGTATTTACAGTACAGTCCTGGGCCTGGCCAAAATAGAATGCCCCCACCTTTTCCAGTCATGCGAGTCGCAGGCAAGGGAAGACAGCAACCTCCAGCGGAGGACCAGCAGAAGAGGCCTGGTCACAGCCAGGATCAAGGGCTCAGGCATAGCACTTCCCATCCGCGGGAAAATGCAGGCTACTCCCTAGGCACCTGAGCTAAAGCCTGGTTGCCCTTGGGAGGGATATGTCTATTGATAGGGACCTTCCTGTGACTCCAAGACGTGGCCAGAGAATCCAGAACTCCCTGGTGCTCTCCATTCAGGAAGAGGGTGACCTGGCCACCTTCGCCCTCTGATCCCAGTCTGACATGTGCATCCCTGCACCTGCCTGCCTTGCTCACTGGCTCTCTCGTCTGCACCCCAGGTACATGATCACCAGCCTGGACCGCACTCACGCAGGCTTCTACCGCTGCATCGTGCGGAACCGGATGGGCGCCCTGCTGCAGCGACAAACCGAGGTCCAGGTGGCCTGTGAGTAGGACGATGGGCGACTTGGGGGCAAGGAGGGTCTGTGCAGCGGGAGAGGGTCTGCAGGGTCCCCACCCACCGCCGTGCTCTGGGCAGAGCCAAATCCCAGCCGTAGCCTTCCATGCTCATTGGGTGCTGACGGTGGCCCTTTCTGCCTATCACGGGAGTGCCCTCGTTTTGTGGTGGACAGGTGCTCTCAAGGCTACACCGCTGATAAGTGACACACACATCTGCCAGCTCAGAGGTCAGCACTCTTTCCATGGGACCAGCTGCTTCTCTTTTTTTTTTTTTTAATTTTATTTTTTTTATTCTTACGTTAATCCCCTATATTACATCATTAGTTTTAGATGTAGTGTTCCATGATTCATTGTTTGTGCATAACACCCAGTGCTCCATGCAGAATGTGCCCTCCTCAATACCCA